TCAGGTGTGGCTGTCCGTTTCAGTGTATGAGACAGTTTCAGTGTAGGATACAGTTCCAGTGTGCGAGAGTTTCAGTGCAGGTGTCAGTTTCAGTGTAGGAGAGAGTTTCAGTGTGGGTGTCAGTTCCAGTGTAGGGGACAGTTTCAGTGTAGGAGACAGTTCCACAGTGGGAGACAGTTTCAGTGCAGGAGACAGTTTCAGGACGGGACACAGTTTCAATGTGGGAGACAGTTTCAGTGTGGGTGTCAGTTTCAGTGTATGAGATAATTTCAGTGTGGGTTTCAGTTACCATGTAGGAGACAGTTTCAGTGTGGATGTCAGTTCCAGTGTAGGAGACAGTTTCAGTGCAGGAGTCAGTTTCAGTGTAGGAGACAGTTTCAGAGTGGGTGTCAGTTTCTTTGTCTGAGATAGTTTCAATGTGGGAGACAGTTTCAATGTGGGTGTCAGTTTCAATGTGGGTGTCAATTTCAGTGTATGAAATTGTTTCAGTCTGGGTGTCAGTTACAGTGTAGGAGACAGTTTCATTGTGGGAGACAGTTCCAGTGTAAAGACAGTTTCAGTGCAGGAGACAGTTTCAATGTGGGTGTCAGTTTCAGTGTGGGTGTCAATTTCAGTGTATGAGATTGTTTCAGTGTGGATGTCTGTTACAGTGTAGGAGACAGTTCCAATGTGGGTTTCAGTTACAGTGTAGGAGACAGATTCACTGTGGGAGACAGTTCAGGTGTAGCTGTCCGTTTCAGTGTATGAGACAGTTTCAGTATAGGATACAGTTCCAGTGTGGGAGAGTTTCAGTGTGGGTTTCAGTTTCAGTGTAGGAGACAATTTCAGTGTGGGTGTCAGTTTCAGCATAGGAGACAGTTCCAGTGTGGGTGTCAGTTACAGTGTAGAGGACAGTTTCAGTGTGGGTGTCAGTTTCAGTGTAGGAGACAGTTTCAGTGTGGGTGTCAGTTTCAGTGTAGGAGACAGTTTCAGTGTAGGAGACAGTTCCAGTATGGGAGACAGTTTCAGTGTAGGAGACAGTTTCAGTGTAGGAGACAGTTCCAGTGTGGGAGACAGTTTCAGTGTAAGAGACAGTTTCAGTGTGGGAGACAGTTTCAGTGTAGGAGACAGTAACAGTGTAGGAGACAGTTTCACTGTGGGAGACAGTTTCAGCTTGGGAGACAGTTCCAGTGTGGGTGTCAGTTTCAGTGTAGGAGACAGTTTCAGTGTAGGAGACAATTCCAGTGTTTGAGACAGTTTCAGCTTGGGAGACAGTTCCAGTGTGGGTGTCAGTTTCAGTGTAGGAGACAGTTTCAGTGTAGGATTCAGTTCCAGTGTGGGAGACAGTTTCAGTTTGGGTGTCAGTTTCAGTGTAGGGGACAATTTCACTGTGGTTGTCAGTTTCAGTGTATGAGACAGTTTTCAGTGTGGGTGTCAGTTTCAGTGTAGGAGACAGTTTCAGTGTGAGTGTCAGTTACAGTCTAGGGGACTGTTTTAGTGTGGGAGACAATTTCACTGTGGGAGATGGTTTCAGCTTGGGAGACCGTTCCAGTGTGGGTGTCAGTTTCAGTGTAGGATACAGTTTCAGTGTAGGAGACAGTTTCAGTGAAGGAGACTGTTTCAGTGTAGGAGACAGTTTCAGTGTGGGTGTCAGTTTCAGTGTATGATACAGTTTCAATGTGGGTTTCAGTTACGGTGTAGGAGACAGTTTCCGTGTAGGAGACAGTTTCTGTATCGGAGACAGTTCCAGTGTTGGTGTCAGTTACAGTGTAGGAGACAGTTTCACTGTGGGAGACAGTTTCAGTTTGGGAGACAGTTCCAGTGTGGGTTTCAGTTTCAGTATAGGAGACAGTTTCAGTGCAGGAGACAGTTCCAGTGTATGCGATAGTTTCAGTGTCGGAGACAGTTCCAGTGTGGGTGTCAGTTGCAGTGCAGGAGACAGTTTCAGTGTAGGCGACAGTTTCAGTGTGGGTATCACTTACAGTGTAGGAGACAGTTTCAGCGTAGGAGACAGTTCCAGTGTGGGTGTCAGTTACAGTGCAGGAGACAGTTTCAGTGTGGGTGTCAGTTACAGTGTAGGAGGCAGTTTCAGTGTGGGAGACCGTTCCAGTGTAGGAGACAGTTTCAGTGTGGGAGACAGTTCCAGTGTGTGAGACAGTTTCACTTTGTTCTGATTCTTTCTGTCTGACTGTACGGTGTGGAATTAAAAGGTAAGTGACCTAATAATATTCTGAATTAAAAGTTTATTTGAAGAAATCTTTTTATTATTAGGTATAATGTTGCACCGACAAGTAACAATGGATATACAAGTTATGGTCCACCCTGATGCAATTGCTTCACAGAAACCGATTTGACTTATTGGTGACAGGGAGATATTTTCTAATCAACCTGTTCAATAAGGCTCTTGCTCCCCTCTGAAGCTGCTGGGACTCAAATCTGGGCCCCCTCGCTCAGAGGTAAGGACACTACTACTGCCACTACTATTGATTTAGTAACATTTTATTGATAACAGAATGGGTAAAAAGCAGGAGGTTGGCTCTCAGTTATGATGCTCACTTAACGAGCTGGTACCATATGATGGGCTGAGCGCCATTTGACATACATCTATGTTTCTGTGAGCAGCAATATACAGTCAGATGATTGCACCTTGCTACTGACCTGTAGCTGAGCTTTGGGATTTAGTATCAAACATGTTGCTGTCCAAAAATCTGAGTGAATAAAGGCTCTGAGGTCGTCACTGTAATCTTACCACACCATAGGGCTGCTGTATTGTTAGAGACTGAACACTGGGTGTGGTGTTACCTGACAGCCACCACATCTCAGATGAGGGGGGAGCTTGAGAACGAGAGTCCTTCATGGTAACGCCTGCTGGCAATGGGGATTGAACGAATGCAGTTGTCATCCAACTGCTTCATAAACAAACCATCCAATGGACTGAGATAAACTGACCCCCATAATGGTTCTATCTGACAACAGGCTCAGTGCTTTCGATACATTATCTGTCCCTATTGTTCTCCAGACATGTCCAGCCACACCATCCTCCTCTGCTGACTCCGCTCCTCCATTGACCAACTCATGGTCACTACCTCCACCTTGTTCACACCCCTAACCACATGACTGCACCCACACAACCCACTGCAATGGCTCTGCTCTGTGCCTACACTAATCTTTCTGAAGTTCCTTCAAGGATCTATCCCTTACCACAATTCCATACCACCCAATCTTATCTTCTTCACCTGCATGTTTCTTCTCCATAGTATCTTCTGAATACCTGTGCTCAGATGTCTTTGATCCCTGCCAGGTTTTATTATGCCCCCAATTTCACCTTCCAGCCACCCACTGTCTACTGGTCAATCCAAACTGTTTCCAAACCTCAGCATAAAGCTGAAGCTATACCCCAAAGTCTCTCCCTTACCAAGCCTGCCCACCTTCACCACCTTAGCGTGACCTGTCTCTGCCAATTTCTCAGCTCCTCCTCTGAGATGTGCTTTAGTGCTGATCCTAGATTTGTGATTGTTGATCCCTTTGGCTCAGCCTGCTCTGACACCAATGCAAGCTTCTAGAAAAGTGGAGCCCTAACATTATAATCCTTGTAGCCTTCAATTTCTGACGTCAGCCTCATTTTTACAGGAAAGTGCCAAGCAGAGATAAACTGTTCAAATTCAAATCACCTCTAGATTATGTCACTCAGTACTATCTAGCACATATCATAGAACATATCATATCTCCTGTATCATAGAACAGAAATCAGTTTAACTGACTGGACTCTCACAGATGAGACATTTATAAACGGGAACAAGTATAATGTCTCCGTCTGCAGAAATTTGCCAGTATTTAATCTTCAGTTTACTCACTGGGGGATTAAAGACTGAGAAATGTTCGGAAGGAGGGTCAGGTAGATTGTCTGTAGTGGACATCATTAGGAGGAGTCCTCACTTTACGTTGTGTGTCTGAGCTGGTTTAGTTCAGGAACAGTTCTGTGAAAACCAGCAGTAAGGCCAGTCTGGCCAGGTGGGAACCTTCCCATGCTGTTGTTCCCTGGCTCTCGGTCTCTTTCTGCTGGTGCTGCTTCAATCTCTTGCTGATCCCTACAGCCTCCTCGGAGCACTGCAGGAGTGGAGTCTGATAAGAGGTGGCCCGCTTGCTTGGAGCGTCGGGGCTGCTTCCGTCTGTAGGCCTCTGCCCGAGGAGCAGCAGGCGGCGCTGAGATGCCTGGTCCCACTCAATCCTGACCAGCTCGTACTCAGTGTGAGGCAGCCGGATGCCCAGTGCCAGGCAGCCATTGGTGTGGCTGAGGTCCTGCTCCAGGCCTGGCAGCCACGATCCGTCTTGGCCACAGGATCCTGTGGTGGAGGAGTTCAACAGCAGGGCTGTGGTCACATCCAGGGGCGTCACCCACACCCGCCTCGTCGTGAAGGCAAAGTTGGTGCCCCCTCTTACCTGTGTGGCGGGGGCACCCTCGCTGTAGCGGCCCCAAGCACGGATCAGAAAGGTGGGCCTCCTGCAGGCTGGGTCAGAGTAGTGTGTGTAGTGGCCCTCCCAAGTTTTGCTGCTGGTGTGGAACACAAGGTACCTCGTGAGGAAGAGCACGGCAGGGCGATCCTCACATACCTGGCTTGCCCACTGCCCACCCAGGTGGGTGCCAAGCTCCTGCTGGGCAGGCAGGATGGGTGGGTGATGCTCATCTGCCTGGTAGATGATGCTGCAGGCCGCACACGGGTGCACGTGGTGCTGTGGAGCCAAAAGGTAAGAATCTCTGTCAGTAAACCATGGGCAAAGCAAACATTAACCATACGGTGGTATGTGAAACTTCTCACAATTCATTCTGTCATCCCCATGAATTGGTTTTACGCTCACTGACATAAGGGCCTATCATAGAACCATTATGTGCAGAAAGAGGCCATTTGGGCCATCAAGTCTGTGCCAACCCTCCAGGGGGCATCCCACACAAACCCTGTGATCCCACATTTCCCAGTGGCTACCCCACCTAGCTTGCACAGCCTTGGACCCTCTGGGCCAATTAAGCACAGCAAATCCACCTAACCTGCACATCTTTGGACTACAGGAGGAAGTCCACACAGACACATAGAGAATGTGCAAGCCCCACACAGACAGTTGCCCGAGGCTGGAATCAAACCTGGGATCCTGGTGCTACGAGGCAGCAGTGCTAACCACTGAGCCTGTGTACTACTCATGAGAGGCTGAGGGAATTACAGCATCAACCATGAAATGCAGCATCCAATTCATGTGAATTAGGAGCAGAAGAAGGATATTCAGCCCCTCCGCCATTTGAAAGATATTGACTAACCTGACTGCAGCCTCAACTCAACTTTTCTGTCTGCCCCTGTAACCTTTGATTCCCTTCTCTATCAACAATCTATCTCACTCAGCCTTAAAAATATTCAGCAACCCTGTCTCCACTACTCTCACAGGAAGTGGGTTCCATCGGTTCCTGACTGTCTGAGAGAGAAAAAAAACTCTGCTCATTCCATCTTAAATGAGAGACCCCTTATTTTTAAATCATGTCCTTTCAGAATGCAGGTTAATGTCATCACAGCACTGGGGTTCATTTCTAAAAGGGCAGAATTGAAAATGTCACCCTATATAGAACTTTGTTTGGATCAAACTTGGTTCTGTGAACAGTTCTGGTCTCTATATTATTATAAGGATACAGGGGGTGGTGGGAAAATGAAACAAAGGTTGATAAGGGATGATACCAATACTGAGAGGTTATGACTGTTCAGAATGATTATGTTTTCCAGCTCTGCACACCTGGCCCAGGATTGTGGATTGCTGTTCCCGGATTTCCTAGGAGCTGTGCGCAGAACCCTGCAGAAAATACTGGGTGCACAGGCAGCCTGCCTGGATGCTCTCCCTCAGCAAAGGATTTTAAAAACACGTAAGACATCTCCCCAGACCTCAAAAACTCTCACACCCAAACGCTCCCCATGCTCCATCCCTGCCAGCCCATGTCACCTCATGCCCTCGAACCATGAACCCCCAGTCCCTCCATACCAACCTCTGCTTCCCACCCACCCCATGGTCCATCATGTAATCCATGTCCCCTCAGAAGGAAGTGGATCTGTGTATTTCTGTACCACAGGGGGCTGTTGAGGCTGCGTCATTATTCAAGGCTGGGATAGACAGATTTTTACTTAGTAAAGGAACCAAGGGTTATGGGGAAAAGGTAGGAAAGTGGAGTTGAGGATGATCAGATCAGCCATGATCTACCTCATTGAATGGCAGAGCAGATTTGATGGGCTGAACGGTCTACTTCTGCTTCTACATCTTATGGTCTTATGCCAAATTATGCAATTATTACCTACCATGCTAACTCACCTAGTACCCAGCATGAGCAGTCATGAGGACTCGTGTATTTAAGAAATGTGTATTTAAAAATTTGCTATTTCAAATATAAACTTCCTCAGAGATAAAAGGTCCATTCCCTACATTTAATTTCTTTTATTCCCTCATAAAAAGCAAACATTAGAATCAATGGTCCCACTACAATATGTCTATAGCCACTTGGAGCTGTCAATTAAGCTATGGACTAAGAGACACCACACTCTGATAATGGAAGGCTGTGAAATTAGTCCCTCCAAATGGCATTGTACATCAAATGGACTGCAGCAGTTCAAGAAGGCAGTTTCTCAAGAGCAATTAGGCTTGGACAATAAGTACTGGCCCAAACAGCGATGCCCATATCCAATGAGTGAATAAAGTGATGTAGGACTAATTCTGTAATGATGGCCCTTCTGTCAACAGACAGTAAAATAGTAAGCACTAACTTTTTTATAACAGCTTTATCCCCCAGATATGTAAAGGACAGGAGTTTTAAATGCCTTCACAGTTTATTTTGACAGTCCCTTTTGGTAACACCACTGAGCTAGACAGTTCCAATGTGTTTATGCAATTTTTATGCACATTTATATATACTTTTATCAATACAGAAATGTGCCCTACTTCTCTAAAAGGGGTACTTCACTTATTCAGGAAAATCTGCAAAGTTTAGACCTGCTCTTCCCAGGTATAATCTGTACATCTTGTTTCCCAAGCCTAACTGGTGAGAATCAGACATGGCAGGAGTCAGCTGCTGTTTTATATGGCCATCTCCCTTTGTGAATCATGGATGAACAACTTCCAACCAAGACCACTCCTTCCAAGTGGGTTCCATGTTCAAGGACGTACTTCCAGATTTGGGGCCCCAAAGGCATTTTGGGGATGATGGGAAAAGACTCTCCATCTGCAAAGAAGTTCAAACCCGAACAGGTCACTGCTTCTCTCTCCAGAAACAAAAAGCAAGACTGACATTTACATAACAGCTCTCAGGAGCATTTCAAAGCCAATTAAGTATGTTTGAAGTGTAGTCACTGTTGTAGTGAGGGAATTATGGTAGCTAACTTACACACAGCAAACTCCCTACAAACAGCAACATAATATTGACCAGATTATCTGTTTTGGTGGGGTTGGCCAAGAGCTTAAGATTGACCAGGACATCAGGGATGACTCACCTATCCTTTTCCCAAAGAGTGCCGTGGGATCTTTAACATGATCCTGAGAGGGCAGACAGGACCTCAGTTCAAAGTCTCTTCCAAAAGGCAGCATCTCCGACAATACAGCATCCCCTCAGCACTGCACTGATGTGACAGCCTTGAGTTGCTCAGGTGCCAGAGTAGATCTTGAGCCTAAACTCTTTTGACTTTCAGAGACATGAATGTGCTACATACCTGGCCACAGCTGAGACTGAAAGGGAAGACTGTGTTCTGTCCCGAATGGGGTCTTTTAATTTCTGAAGGGGTTTGATTGTCCATTGAGAATTCAGGGTTTAAGTTTGATTGCTCCTGAGAATGAGCATGAGAATCATGATGGGCACTGAAGGCCATGCCTGTTGCGTGTGGTACAGTCAGCGCGCCAATGATTTCAACTGAAGGCCATGCCTGTTGCATGTGGTACTGTTGGTGCGCCAGTGATTTCAACATGCACACTGCTGATTGTCTGGATGCACCGACACAGGGAGATGTCGGTAATGTCACCCTCACTGAGGCCCAGGTTGTTCTCCCGGGGTTCAAATCCCACCACGGTGGTTGCTGGAATTTAAATTCGATGAATAAAACCCAGAACTGAAAGCTCAGCTCACAGATGGTGATGGTGACAACAAACGTTGACTGTTGAGGAAGGAAATCTGCTGTCCTTACCTGTTCTAGCCTACACGTGACTCCAGACCCACAGCAATGTGGTGAACTCTTAGCTGCCCGCTCAGATGGCCTCACAAGCCGCACATCTTAAGGGCAAATCGGAGTGGAAAACAAATGAAAGAATAGATGAGGAAAGAAATCACAGGCAGATAATATCAGTGTTTAGAAGGCATTGTGGCTGGAGCAGGAACTGTGACCAGTGGGGGGAAGTGAGAGACCTGAGAAATTATGACACAGTTTGGGAGAGTGTGCCTTCAAATATTTGAGCTGGAGGCCTTGATGGAGTAGGTGGGAAAGGGGAGATGCTCCCTTTATTTAGTGGAGAGGGGTGGGGCAGGTCATCATCTAGACAACATTAAGAAGGCAATGGGAGCAGGCAGCCATGGCAATCAATGCCAGGGCTCTGAGAACTGGATGCAGTCGTCAAGATCAGTGAACGCATCATCAAATCCTGCATCCTCCAAACTGCACCATTTGTATTACTCACTGCTCAGTGCACCACACTCCCATCACTGAGCTACCAACAAGGTGTATTGATCAGGACTTACACCTCATGGTTAGCACTGCTGCTAACAAGCTTCACACTCCCATCTCTCACACAATTTGCTGAGGATGATGTGCTCCATTACTGTTCTATCCAGCAATACCCCAGATGACAAAAGGACCAGGCTGACCTGCCCTCATTCAGGAAAAGAGTGAACTTGAGTTCCTTCCTCACTGAAGGAGATTCCGTCAGGGTTTGACAGGGTCATCGCTGGGACAAATGTTCCCAAACAGACAAACAAGGAGCATGTCTAGATCACTCAGCTCTTTGAGCCTGCTCTGATCTGATTCAACATCAACTCTACATTCTACTCACTGTTTTTGGGGGCAGAGGGGTCCAAAACTGGGGCCAATGAGGTTAGGATAGTTACTGGTAAGTCCAATAAGGAACTAATCAGGAATTTCTTTACATAGGGGATGGCTACAATGTGCAACTCACAACCACATGGAATAATTGAAGTGAACAGTACAGGTTGCACTAAAAGGGTAAGTGGATAAACACATGAGGGAGAAAGTACTTGCAGCTGGTTGAGAACGCTGGTTGAGAATGAGGGAAAGTGAAAGGCAGCTTATATGGTGTGTAAACACTAATATGGAGCACTTGGGCTGAATAGTTTCTGTCTAATTGAAGTTCACGCACTTACCAAAGCTGCCTGCAGAGGGCGCTGGTAGCCAATGGGCCGATGATGGGTTCTCTGAGCCCAGCCGGTGTGAATGTCTCCCACGAAGAGCTTCTTGATCAGCTGCCGGTGGACCTGCTTCTCCACCCGCACCAGGCTCAGCTCGTGCATAGCAAACCCAAGACCAGCCGTGCAGTCCCAGCCACTTCTGGCATTCAGGATCTCATAGGTTGTTTGTAGTGACCAGGCTCTCCCAAAACAGTCTGAGCAACTGCATGAGCTGTTCATCTTGTCTAAGATGGCTGCCATTGCTTGCTCACTGTGGAAGGTCATGGTCACTTGGTGCAGCTGGTAATCGGCATTGGTGGCTCCGTGGGTCACCCAGGAGTCCTGGAGCAGTCGGATCCTGCCTTTGATCACCAGGGTGTAGCCGGGTCTTGTGCACTGATGGTCGGTGTAATAGAACTGATAGGCCTTAAATGTCCCGTTCGGGTGGAACATGTAGGATCTAGTGATGAATTCAGGCCCAGCGCGCACTTCACACCTGCCAGAGGGAGAATGCAAAGAATTACAAGCCTGAGGCCTAATCCACACCAAGTTCTCTTCAGCCATTTCCCCAGCGCTTGCTGACTCACACTGCTCCCTTACCCAACTTGAAAAGTTTCATTGTTGTTTTCAAATACCTCAATGGTCTTCACCTCTCGCTCTCTGATTGTTATCACCACTAGCTTTCCCAATTCTCATCTCTTGAGCAGCCTGCATTTTCATAGCAACCTTGTCTTCAGTTGCCTGCATCCTGGGTCTGGAAATGCTTCCCCAAACCTCTTGGCCTATCTTTCTCTCTGTCAGAAACAGCTCATCTTAAATGATTTAGTGTTAAACATTTTCCAATGACCATACTGCCCCTGGATTAGGTAGTTGATTGCATAATGTTGATGTCACAAGACCGATCATACAGAAGCCCAGGCTGATTGGGGCATGAATTTGAATCCACCGTGGCTGATAAAAAAAAATTGGATTCTCAAAAGAAAAATCTGCCGCTAAAATCTAATTTAATGGTAACCACAACTGCAAAAACTCATTAGGTTCACAATGTCCTTGAGGGAAGGAAATCTGCCATCTCTCCCTGGTCTAGCCTAGAAATGGCTCCAGAGCGACAGCAATGTGGCTGCCTTTGGGAAATAAATGCTGGCTGAGCCACTGATCCCCTCATCCCATGAATGAATGTTTAAAAATCCACTTCATTAATAGTGCTATATAAATGTAAGTCTCTGCTATATGTGGAGAAGGAGCATTCTAGAAGCCACAATCTTTGCTTACAGCCTAGAATGTGAGATATTATTTTTCATGGCCCTGTTCTAGAGCTACTGACTCTTTTGATAGCAGGTGGCCTCTCATCCCTGAGTCCTTCCTGATCATAAGCAGAGAGTGAGTGCTGGAAATAAATTAGTAATTAGCACAGACCTCACAGTTTGTCCCAACATATCGCCGTTTCAATGTGGAGCAGTTGTTCTAATCCTAACTTGTTCCCCTTTCGCATTCTCCCTCTTTTCTTTATTCCAAGAGGGATGGGGTATAAAAGTAGGGAAGTCTTGCTACAACTCTACAGGGCATTGGTGAGATAACACCTGGAGTACTGGATGTATTTGTGTCGGAAATAGTTCACAGCAAGTTCACTCGGCTACTTCCTGGGGTGAAGAGGCTGCTTTCTGAGGAAAGGTTGAGCAGGTTGGACCAATAGACATCAAAGTTTAGAAAAGTGAAAGAGGATTTTATTGAAATAATTAAGATCCTGAGGGGGCTTGATGGGGTAGATTGTGAGAAGATGTTTCTCTCATGCGCGAATAGAAACACAGGAGTAGGCCATTAAGCCATTTGAGCCTGGTCCACCAATCGATATGATCAAGCTCAATCATCCACCTCAGTCTTTGTTCTTGCTTTCTCCCCAAACCCTTTAATACCTTTAGCTCTAAGAACTATATCTAATTCCTTCTTGAAAAAATTCAATGTTTTGGCCTTAACCACTTCCTGTAGCAGAGAATTCCACAGGCTCACCATTGTCTGGGTGAGGAAATTTCTCCTGATCTAAATCTTAAACAGTCAACCTGTGACCCCTGGTTCAGGACACCCCAGTCATTGGGAACATCCTTCCTGTGTTTACCCTGTCTAGTTCCGTTAGAATTTTATAGGTTTTGCTGAAAGCACCCCACCCCACCCATTCTTCTAAATTACAGTGAATATAATCCTAACTGATCCATTCTCTCTTCCTACCTCAGTCCTGCAATCCCAGGAATCAGTCTGGTGAACCTGTGCTATAACCCCTCTAGCCAGAGCATCCTTCCTCAGATAAGGAAATCACAACTGCACACAGTTTTCCAGGTGTGATCTCACCAAGGCCTTGTGTGATTGCAGCAAGACATCTTGCTCCTGTAATCCAATCCTCTCACTATTAAGGCCAACATACCAAATGTCTTCTTCACTGCGTGCTGCATCTGCACACTTAGTCATAGAATTATACAGTTCAGCCCTTTGAGTCTGCACTGACAAAAAACTACTCTAAATCTACAATAGTCCCACTTTCCAGCACTTGGAATATCATTGGCACTTCAAATACTCATCCAAGTACTTTTTAAAGATTATGAGGTTCCCCACCTCAGCTACCCTCCCAGACTGTTCCTTCCAGACTCCCAGGACTCTCTGAGTGAGAAAAACCTTTCCTCAAATCCCATCAATACCTCCTGCCTTCCACCTTAAAATTATGCCTCCTCGCTTCCTCCCAATGACTAATGCACAAGCATACTGAGGTCTCAGTGCATTTTCCTCTTCTCCAGGGAATAAACTGCCTTACTGATTTTGCTACCAAAGTGGATAACCTCACATTTATCCACACTACACAGCATCTGCTGTACATTTACCCACTCACTCAGCCTGTCCAAATCACATTGAAGTGTTTCTGCATCCTCCTCACAGCTCAGCCTCCCACTCAGCTTTGTGTCATCTGCAAATCTGGGGATATTATACTTAATTCCCTCATCTAAATCATTAATATATATTGTAAATAGCTGGGCCTTAGCTCTGATCCCTGTGGTACCCAATTAGTCACTGCCTGCTAATTGGAAAAAGACCCGTTTATTCTTTGTTTCCTGTTTGCTGGCCAGTTCTCTATCCATGTTAGTACAAACTCCAAATCTCATGGACTTTAATTTTACACATTAATCTGTTAAATGCAACCTTATCGAAAGCCTATTAAAAATCAAAATAAACTACATTCACTGACTTCTCCAATCAACTCTAATAGTTGAGTCCTCGAAGAATTCCAGTAGATTTGCCAAACAAGATTTCCCTTTTATAAATCCATGCTGACTCTGTCTAGTCCTGTCATTGTTTTCCAAGTGCTCTGCTATTAAATCTTTTATAGTGGACTCTAACATTTTCCTCACTGCTGATGTCACTTTAAATGATCTATAATCCCGTTTTCCCTCTACCTCCCTTCTTAAAAAATGGGATTACATTAACTTTCCTACCATCTGAAGGAGCTTGTCCAGAGCCTATAGAATTGTGGAAGATGACCACTCATGCACCCACTTTTTGTAGGGCCACTTCCTTAAGTACTCTGGGATGTAGATTATCAGGGCCTGGGGATTTATCCACCTTCAATCCCATCAATTTCCCCAACGTCTTCCTCCTGCTGATACTGATTCCCTTCCATTCCTCCCACTCACTAGACCCTGTGTTCTTCAACATTTTTAAGATGCTATTTATTCTTCCTTTGTGGATTCAGAACCAAAATAAGTATTTTATTGGTTTACCATTGTTTCCCATTATACCTTTGCCTTTCTCTGATTGTAAGGTACCCATATTTGTCTTCCTTAATCTTTTTCTCTTCATATACCTACAGAACCTTTTACAATCAGCTTGTATGATCCTCGCAAGCTTATTTTTATTCTCTATTTCCCCTCACTTAATCAATCACCTTTGAATCTAGAACTAGGGAGCTTATAAGAAACAAATAAGAGTTTCCCATTTAAGCCAGATATGAAGGGAAATTATTTCCCTCAGGGGGTTGCTGGACTCTGCAATTCCCTTCCCTAGAAAGCAGTGGAAGCAGGATCATTGAATATGATCAAAACTGAGGTAGATTTTTGACCTACAAGGGGATGACAGTAATGGGCAAGTGGAGTAAAGTTCACAATCAGATCAGTAGTGATCCAGCTGAATGCTGTCCTGGCCAGATGAGCCAAATGGCCTACGCTTGTTCCTATTTCTTGTGTTCTTATGATTATATTTTTCACAGAAATGTAAAGGTTCCCATGTTTCAGTTATAACCCCTAGTCCACTGTCTCATATGATAAGCCTCCCTCATTACAGTACTGTCAAATTGACTCCATCCAATCACTTCATCAATTTAATACCTCAATCCAATCACTCACATTCTCCTGTTCACATTTAAAAGTCAGTTCAGCCTTGGACAGAAAACAACTGAGGCAGGATATGTCCTCGTGGTAAGTCAGCAAAGACGTAGATTCTGGAAAGGAGCTGATGGATTAATGTTCACACAAGTTCAAAACCAGGAACATGTAAATGGTTTGTAAAGGGGTTCATATTGCACAATGATGGAGTGTAGGCTACATCACATCACATTCACACACTGAAAGATGGAAATATTCCTGTCACAGGTAACACAAAAAAAATTCAATAGCAGGACCCCCTCTGCCAATGCACTTCCACACACCTCACTCTCCGTTTCTCGTACATCTCACTCTCCCTGTCCCATACTCTCCCTGTCCCATACTCACACTCTCCCTGTCCCACACTCACACTCTCCCTGTCCCATACTCTCCCTGTCCCATTCTCTCCCTGTCTCACATTCTCCCTGTCCCACACTGTCCATGTCCCACTCTCTCCCTGTCTCACACTCTCACTGTCTCATACCGTCCCTGTCCCACACTCATATTCTCTCTATCTCACACGCTCCTTGTCTCACACTCTCCCTATCCCACACTCTCCCTATCTCATACTATACCTGTCTCACACTGTCCCTGTCCCACACTGTCCCTGTCCCACACTCTCCCTGTCCCACACTCATACTATCCCTGTCTCACACTCTCCCTGTCCCACACTTTCCCTGTCCCACACTCTCCCTGTCCCATTCTCTTCCCTATCTCACATTCTCCCTGTTTCACACTGTCCATGTCCCACTCTCTCCCTGTCTCACACTCTCACTGTCCCATACCCTCCCTGTCCCACACTCTACCTGTCCCAAATGCCACATTCTCAGTTTCTCACACATGACGTCACACTGTCCCAAACATCACTGCCCAACACTGTGTCTCTCTTAGATAGCACATTCAATATGCCACATATTTACGATGAAATTACAGTGGGGTATGTTCCTGCCCAGCTGTAGGCAACTACAGTGTGTCTGGCTACAAGTATGTTCAGAGGCAATTCATTTTGAAAATGTCTGTGCTATATGGCAAAAATGGAGCTTGAAAGCAGATTATACCAGATTTTTATTATTCAAGGTCAACCTTACATTGCAACATGTGCTTGTATCATTGAGTCCCTCTGTACAGTCAGCCTGGAGGGATTCATAGAATCCCTACAGTGTGGAAGCAGGCCATTCGGTCCATCAAGTCCACGTTAACCGTCTGAAGAGTATCCCACCCAGACCCAGCCCCTGCTTCCCTATTCCTGTAACCCTGCATTGCCCATGGCTATTCCACCTAGCCTGTCCATCCCTGAACACTACGGACAATTTATCGTGGCCAATCCACCTAACCTGAACATTGTTGGACTGTGGGAGGAAACCCATGCAGACACAGGGAGAATGTGAAAACTCCACACAGACAGTTGCCTGAGGGTAGAATCAAACCCAGGTCCCTGGCGCTGTGAGGCAGCAGTGCTAACCACTGAGCCACCATGCCACCCATTCAGTCCTGTTTCCGTTCCTCACTCTCCCTCTCACTCAGCATTGTTTCTCTTACCCTGTCGAGATCCAATGGCCCTCCAGCCTGGGTGTAATGTCAGCTGTAATCCTGGCTCCGTCCTGTATCTGTTGCAGTTGGTGTTGGCACAGAGTCTTCCAGTGAAGTCTGGCTGCCTCAGTCCTGACTCTGAGCAGCCCTGGAAACAAAGAAAAGACAGACCTTTTTGGTCAAAAGTGTGGAACTCCCTCCCTAACAGCACTGTGAGTGAATCTACAGTCTCTGATTGTTGTTGTTCAACATGATAGTTCACCATTACCTTCTCCAGGGCATCTTGCAACACCCACGACTCACAAACAAATAAAATGAAGTTTTACGGTTCAGCTTGAAAATGATAGGTCAGGTGTGGTTTATTGGGCAGCACTCTTGCCTCTGGAGCTAAACCATTGTTGAATCAGGTCCCACATCAGAGACCTGAACACATCCAAAGATAGATAAAGATAAATGAATTGGATGGGCATGTTGGCAGATGAAGGATATGGTGGGAAAATGGGAAGTTGTCCATTTTAGCAGGAGAAATAAACAAGCAGACAAGTATTTAAATGGAGAATCCCCATGGCATGCTATAGTGCAAGGGGAGCTGGGTATGCAGGTACAGCAAGTAACTCTGATGGTCAATGGAATGTTGACCTTTATTGCAAGAGGGATGGAGTATAAAAGGGAAGTATTACTACATCGGTGCAGAGCAATGATGAGACTGCGCCTGGAATACTGTGTACCGCTTTGATTTCTTAACTTAAGGAGGGATAGCCTCATATTGGAAGCAGTTCAGAGAAGGTTCACTCTCCTGATTCCTGGGCTTTCTGAGGAGAGGGAGGATAGGTTAAGTTATTGACTTTAGAGATGATCATATTGAAATATGTAAGGTTCCAATGGGACCTTGACATGCTAGATGGGGGAATTGGGAGGAATTTGGAGACTCGGAGGCACAGTTTAAAAATTAGACGCTTCTGTCATTTAAGACAGTGAAGAGGAGAATCAGAGGGTGATGAGTGTTTGGAATTCTCTTCTCCAGATTGGCCTGGCCTATTGAATCAATTCCAGGGTGAATTAGACAAATTTGTGATCTATAAGGGAGTCAAGGGTTATTGGGAGTAAAGGCAGTCATATACAGTTAAAGCCACTATCAGATCAGTCATGATCTTATGAGGCCTTCTGTTGTTGACTTGCTGTCTTATTCTTAACTCTGAGTTTACAAGTGTAATATCTCAGTTTGGCTCTGCTGGCTAACTTCAAAAGCACAACAATTTAATAAAACTTAATAACACATTTACAGAACACATTACACAGTCCTTACTTGCCGAGCTCCCTGACTCAACTACTGGGCAAGTCACCTTGTGCAGATTTCCCATTCCATCACTGGTTGGACTAGCAGGCCACACAACTCCTCCCTCAGTGCTCGACCTTAAAAGGACCAACAACTATAACAAGTGAGAAAGAAGAGCTGGTGTGGAGATGTCGTTTGTCACAGCCCTGCCTTCATCTGCTGACTATCCACTGCCTCATTTCTGTTAAATCCTGAGTGGTGTTTCCCATATCGTTCAATGCGCCAAGCCAACTGCCAACAAATATTCAAGGCAAAAATAGCAGAAGATGCTGGGATTTGATCTCCTGACCTGTGGCTGAGCTCAGCTGCAGTTCACTGTCCTGGGACTTAGGAAGTGCAGTCGGCTTCAGTTCACAAACTATGATCAGATAAAGTGGTGATGTATCTATCGACACCTTTAAGCTTTCTCTCTCTATGACCCCTTCTGTCTCTTCACACATTCTTTCTGTCTCCCTTTCTCTATGTCTTTCTCACTGTCTCTCTGTCTGTCTCTCCCTGTGACCCTGTTGCACTCAGGCTCTATGCCTGATGTGGAAAGTGTATTGTAAATTTGAAAAGTATGATAATTGTGTGTGATACACAGAGATGGAATTACAGAATTGTTCTAATGCAGGAGGAGGCCATTTGGCCCATTGTGTCTGCAATGGTTCTCTGAGCATTTTCACTTAGTGATAATCTCCTGCCTTTTCCCCTTAATCATGCATGTTGTTTCTATTTAATAATCATCCAGCACTCTCTTGAACGCCTCAATTGAACCTGCCTCCACCACATTTCCAGGCAGCACATTCCATACTCTAATAGCTCACTGTGTGAAAAATATTTTTATCGTCTCACATTTGCTTCTTTTGCAAAAGACTTTTAATCTGTGCCCTCTGGTTCTTGATTCTTTTCTGAGGGGAACGGTCTCCCGACCTACTCTGTTCCAGGCCCCTCATGTTTTGAAAGCTTCTATCAAATCTTTTCTCGGCCTTCTCCTCTCCAAGAAAAACAGTGCCAAATTCTTTCCTTGTAGCTGAAATGTTTCATCCCTGGAAACATTCTTATAAACCCCTTCTGCATGCTCTCCAACGCATTCACATTATCCTATAATGAATTATGCAAAATACTCCAGCTGCAACCTAACTAGTGTTCTATACAGGTCAGTATAACTTCCTTGCTATCGTACCCTGTGCCCTTATTAATAAAGCTAAGTACACTGTATAGAGTCATAGAGTCATACAGCATAGAAACAGACCCTTTGGTCCAACTAGTCCATGCTGACCATGTTCCCAAATTAAATTAGTCCCACCTGCCTGCACTTGGCCCATATCCCTCCAAACCATTCCTGAACCATTCACGAGTTTATCCAAATGTCTTTTAAAATGTTGTAACTACCTGCATCTATCACTTTCTCTGGCAGTTCATTCCACACACAAACCACTCTATGTGTAAAACGGTAGCCCCTCGTGTTTTTTTTAAATCTTCCTCCTCTCATCTTACAAATATGCCCCCTAGTTTTGAGCTCCCCCAGCCTAGGGAAAAGACCCTTGACATTCACCTTATCTATGCCCCTCATGATTTTATAAACCTCAATAAGGTCACCCCTCAACCTCCTACGCTCCAGTGAAAAAAATCCAACTTTTATATCTGAAAGCCTCCATTGTCGGTTACATCCTAGGCAATTTTCTTCTGAACCCTCTCCAGTTTAATAATATCCTTCCTGTAACTGGTGACCAAAACTGCATACAGCACTCCAGAAGTGACCTCACCAAAGTCCTGTACAACCTCAACATGACATTTCAACTCAACATATTACAAACTATTCATATTGGATCTTATTAATGTTTGGTTGTCAATTGTCAAATTTCGGTGTTGGGACAGGCTGGGAAGCAGACAAGGTGGGTGGCATGGTGGCTCAGTGGTTAGCACTGCTACCTCACAGCACCAGGGACCCAGGTTCAATTCCAGCCTCAGGCTACTATCTGTGTGGAGTTTGCACATTCTCCCCATGTCTGTGTGGGTTTTCTCCCACAATCTAAAGATGTGCAGGCTAGGTGGATTGGCCATGCTAAATTGCCCAAGTGTTCAGGGATGCATAGACTATAGGGATGGGTCTGAGTGTCAGGTTGGGCTGAAGGGCCTATTCCCACACAGTAGGGATTCCACGATTCAACTCCCATACACAAAGGCAAGCATGCTAAATGCCTTTTTAACCACCCTGTCTATGTGTGATGCAAACTTCAAAGAATTATGTACCTGAACCATTAGGTCTCTCTGTTCTACAATACTACCCAGGGTCCTACAATTACTTATATAAGTCCTGTCCTTGTTTGTTTTACCAAAATGCAATACCTCACATTTATCCAAATTAAACTCCATCTGCCACTCCTCAGCCCATTAATACTATTGATCAAGATCTGTTTGTAATCTCTGATAACTTTCTTCACTGTCCACTACATGACCAATTTTGGTGTCATCCACAAACTTACTAAACATGCCACCTATATGTCGTGTGATTTCTGACTTTGTCCATCCCAGTCCAAAACCGGCACCTTGCACATTATGGCTACCGTCGATACCACCAATTGCCGGCTCAAAGTGGAGAGGATCTCCAAGAAGATCGTGCATCAACACAGTCAAGTTTCTACAGAACTGCAAGAAAGTACAAAAGATCCCAAAAGGACTACAGATCACGAACCCACTCAAGTTGACTGATTAAAGATTTAACAGCATTTTATGTTTATTTAATATGTCCTCATGAATGGTGTGACCCTTTGATCTTTTACTTATAAATTCTGTGTCTGATGCCACCTCTCTCACTAACACCTGAAGAAGGAGCAAGGCTCAAAAAGCTTGTGTTTTCAAATAAACCTGTTAGACTATAACATGGTATTGTGTGATTTCTGACCTTGTACAACACAGTCCAACGCCGGCACCTCCACATCCTATATTCTTAACCAAATTACTTATATAAATGTCAAACAAAAGTGGACCTAGTGCTGAACCCTGCGGAACATCACTGGTCACAGGCCTCCAGTCTGAAAAACAACCCTCCATCACCACCGTCTGTCTCCTACCAAAAAGCCAATTTTGTATCCAATTGACAAGCTCACCCTGAATCCCATGTGACCTAACTTTACTAATTAATCTACTAAGCAGAACCTTATCAAAGGCATTACTAAAATCTAAGTAAAAAACATTTACTGCTCTGCCCTCATCAATCTTTTTGGTTACTTCATCAAAAATATCAATCAAGTTTGTGAGACATGATTTTCCTCGCTCAAAATCATGCTGACTACGCCTAATCAATCCTTGCTTCTCCATGGATGTAAATCTTATCTTTCAGAATCACCTCCAACAACTTACCCACCACCAACGTCAGACCCACAGGTCTATGGTTTCCAGGCTTCTCCTTACAGCTTTTCTTAAACAATGGCACAACATTAACCCACCCTTCAGGCCTCCAGTACTTCACATGTGTTTGTAGATGATACAAATATTTCCGCTCGGGGCCCCACAATTACCTCCCTAATTTCCCAGAATGTCCTGGAATACATTAGATCAGGTCCTGGAGATTTAAGCTACCGGTATATTTTCTAGGATTTCTGAATGTGAACTGTTTTCAAAATATCAATATTCATTTCCCTGAGTTCTCTAGCCTCCATTTTTTTCATTTAATATCTCCCCCATCTCCTGAGGTTCAACACAAATCTTTATTGATCTTTGATGGGTCCTACTGTCTCTAGTTGCTGTCTTGCTCTTAAAGTATTTGTAGAATCTTTTTAGATTATCTTATCTGCCAAGGCATACCCCCTCTTTGCATTCCTGATTTCCTTCTTAAGAATGTCCCTACACTCTTTATACTCTTCAAGAGATTCAGCTGATCCCAGTTGTCTATATCTAATATGGGGTGGCATGGTGGCTCAGTGGTTAGCACTGCTGCCTCACAGCACCAGGGACCCAGGTTTGGTTCCACCCTCAGGCAACTGTCTGTGTGGAGTTTATACATTCTCCCCATGTCTGTGTGGGTTTCCTCCCACAGTCCAAAGTTGTGCAGGTTAGGTGGATTGGCCATGCTAAATTGCCCATAGTGTCTAAAGTGGGAAATGCAGGGGTGAGATAGGGTAGGGGGTGGGTTTGGGTGGGATGCTCTTCAGAGGGGTGGTGTGGACTTGATGGGCTGAATGGCTTGCTGTAGGGATTCTATGATATGATTCTTTCCTTTTTTGACTAGAACCTCAATATTTTTATTCATCTATTGTTCCGTAATCTTACTAGCCTTGCCTTGCATTCCACAGAAGCATAATGCCTCTGAACTCTCATTATCACCCTTTTGAAGTCTTCCTACCATTTACCAGAGAACAGTCTACTACAATTAACTTTAGAAAGTTCTTGTTTCATATTCTTAAAATTTGCCTTAATTCAATTAAGAACTTTAACTTTTATGGAAGACTTATCCTTTTCCATAACTATTTAAAAACCAGTATAATTATGATCATTATAGTCCCAGAGTGTTTCCCTACTTATACTTCAGTCACTTGCCCTGTCTTATTTAACAAGAGGTCAGGATTTGCTCCTTTTCTAGTAGAAATATTTACATATTGATGAAGAAAATTCTCCTGAACACATTTAACAAATTTTTCACCATCCAAACCTTTAACACTGTGGCAGTTCCAGTCAATGTTTTGATAATTAAATTCCCCTACTATTACAACCTTATTATTCTTACATATATTTGAGATCTTTCTACATATTTGTTTCTCAATTTCCCTCTGACATTTGGGTGGTCTATAGTACAATCCCATCAAGGTGATCATCCCTTTCTTATTTCCAATTTCAACCCATATATTTTCACTAAATGATCCCTCAGAAGTATCATCCGTAATTACAGTAGTGATGTTTTCCTTAATCAAAAATGTCACTCCCCCCTCCTCTCTTGCCTCTCTTTCTATCCTTCCCACAAAACCTAAATCCCAGAACACTGAGCTGCCAGTTTTGTCCTTCCCTCAAACTTTTATAACAGCTCTCTCCACCTGTCCTGCCAACTTCAATAACAATTTGAATTTTATTTCATCTTCTGTAGCTTTCAAGTTGAAATGTTTGTCATGGACTTTTACACATTTTATAAATAACGAATAGTTTTGGATAAAGAAAATCTCTTTCTGAGAGTCTCCTTTCCCCTCTATCATGCTTTAATTATCCCACCCACCCAGTTCCTGTCTCTCTATGTTTTATATCCAAATGTGACAGCAGTCAGTGACTCACCAGGCAATATCATTAAGGTCCACAAACTCAGGTTTATCTTTAAAAACCTCACCAAGAACATGTTGTGAATTCTTGAAGTGAAAAATCTTAAGTCTGTAGAAATCCCAGCAAAAAGAACCAGATTCATATCGCAGTGTGCAGCCAAGAAGAGAGTAAGTCTTTGTGGGGAAAAAACAATGTTTAACAGTGAAGCTGACGACAGTATTAACTTCCCAGCATTGCCTTGTCACCAAATCCACATGAAGTTGACAACACAGAGAATATCTGCAGGATGTTCTTTTTCAGAATGATAGTCTTTTTAAATATCTTTGCCTGGGTTGTTAAAGTGGGAGTGGAGGAACTGAATGCCTGTTCATGAATGTACATTCAAACTGAGGGGAGGGGCGGAGACATCTGCTGCTTGTCACTCCCATTGCCAGTCAGAGCAGTCCTTCTCTCCACTCAAAATGGGTCAATGCCTTTGGTTTTTGCAACTGCAGTAAATGTCAGATACCAATGTTTGTTTGTCCTGATACGCAAAGACTGTACAGAACGGTTTTAGTACCTGTGAATGTAGGTAAAGAATTTTTATGAATAAATGAAGTATATTTTTGCAATAAAAGAAGCCTGTACACTTTGTATACGGGTTTGTACCATTTCAGAATTTAATTATACGCCTCTCTGTGCATTACCATCTCCCTTCAGTTGATGTGTAATGGGAATGAGGTTAGCCAGGTGGACCTCGGAATGTGTTCTGAGGAAGGGTCACCTGGCCCAAAACATTAATTCTGATTTCTCTCCACAGATGCTGCCAGATTTTCCAGCAATTTCTGTGTTTCTTATAGAATATGAGATTCCTAGTTGGGGCGTTAATTTGGTCCAACCAGGGAGGCCCGGCTGACAGATATAAGCAGGAGTGTCAGGGGTTCTGTTCACTCTAGGAGCTGGCTCTGAGCTAGCTGAGTCAGTGTGTCATGTACTATGCACTAAATAAAGGGTGACATGGTGACGGGATACCGGTCTTTGTGAAGTTATTTCATCTACCACTGGTAGCTGTATCTTCAGCCCATCTAGGCCCTGCCTCATGGAATTCCATCTGGAACTTTCAAACCTTGGTCTATATTTCAAAAAGGAGGATGACAGAATGCTATTTACTGAATAAGTCATTCTTTCATCTTTTTGAGCAGTCTTCAGTTTACAATGAGGCTCCTCATTAATTTAACACTTAACATTTTTAAGAAAGAAAGTGACTCAAGTCACTTCACAGAAACACAACATAGTTACCAAGACAAAGAAGGAGGCCTGCTCAAAGGCCTAGTGGGAAAAAGTACGTTTTTAAAAAGTCCTTGGTGGAAGTGAGGGTGACGGAAGTAAAGTTGTCCAGAATTGTCCTGCACTCTTCAGGAATGAAATATGAATTATTGTTGTGAGCAATCCAGGAGAACCCAGCAGGTCATTAAAAAATACTGCTTTCAAATAGAATTCTTCAAGCATTTTTCTTTACCTGTTATGAAAGTATTTGAGATGAGAGAAAAGGTTACCTGACTTGGCAAGTTAGATCCAGAATTGGCTTAATGATAGGAGACAAAGGATGGTAGTAGCTGGTTGTTTATGTGACTGGAGACCGGTGTGCAGTGGCCTACCACACGGATCAGTGCTCAGTTTCTTATTTGTGATATACTGAATATAATTGATGTAGATGAGAATGTGGAAGGATGATGAGTAAGTTTGTAGCTGACACTAAGATTAGCTGGGCGGTTGACAGTGAGGAAGAAGGTCTTGGGTTACAGGGGCATATAAATAGACTGGTTAAGTGAGGCCGGTGGCAAATGAAATTTAACCCTGATAAGTGTGAGATGATGCAGTTTGAAGAAGTAATAAGCAAAAGGAGTACTAAATGAATGACAGGGCACTAGGAAGCTCAGAGGAACAGAGGGATCTTAGGGTGTTTGTCCACAGATCCCTGAAGGTGGCAGGACAGGTTAATAGGGCAGTTAAGACGGTATAGAGGACACATGCCTATCAGTCAAGGTATAGATTATATGAGCAGGGAAGTTATATTGGAGCTGTAAAGGACTTTGGTTAGGCCACAGCTGGAGTAATGTGTTCAGTTCTGGTCATGACACGAAACGAAAAATGTGCTTGCACTGGAGGGAGTGCAGAGAAGATTCACCAGTATTTTGGCTGGGGTGGAGCATTTTAGCTATGAAGAGAGGCTGGATAATCATAGATTGTCATCATCATAGAATCCCTACAGTATGGGGAACAGGCCATTCAGCCCAACAAGTCAACACCATCCCTCCAAACAGTATTCCACGTCAACACATTCCCCTACACCTGCATTTCCCCAAGTCTAACCCACCTAACCTAAACATCCCTGGACACTATGAGCAATTTAGCATGACCAATCCACCTAACCTGCACATGTTTGGACTGTGGGAGGAAACCAGAGCACCCAGAGGAAACCCTCGCAGACATGGGGAGAATGTGCAAACTCCACACAGACAGTCGCCCGAGGGTGGAATTGAACCTGGGTCCCTGGCGCTGTGAGGCAGCGGTGCTAACCACTGAGCCACTGTGCCAGCTGAGTGCAGGTTGTTTTCTTTAGAACAGGGGAGGCTGAGGGAGGACCTGATTGAGGTGTATAAGATTGTGAGGGACATGGACAGGGTGAATAGGAAGAAGTTGTTCCTCTGAGTTGAATGGTCAATAACAAGGGGACATCATTTTAAGGTGAAAGACTGGAGGTTTAGAGCGGACTTGAGGAAAACGTTTTTCACCCAGATGGTGGCGTAGGTCTGGAATGCACAGCCTGGGAGGATGGTTGAGTTGGGAAACCTCACAACTATAAAAAATACCGGGGTGATTACTTGAAATGTCATAACATTCAAGGCTTTGGGCCGGTGTAGGAAACTAGGACCAGTGTAGATTTAGCATAGTTTTGGCGGTACAGACTTGATGAGCCAAAGGGCCTCTTCTGTCCTGTCTCATTCTATAATTCTACTGACTGACAGATATTAAGGGGAACTGATAGAGTAGAATATAAGAAGCTATTGCCGCTGGTGGTAAAAGATATCATCTTAAAATCAGAAGTGAAACTTTCAGGAGTGAAGTTAGGAAACACATCTACACACCAAGCAAGGTAGAAGTTTATATTTCTCTTCCACAAATGACAACTGATGCTAGGCCCTTTGTTAAATTTAAACTCAGATTGACACACTTCTGTTAACCAAAGTTTCTAAGTGGTCTTGAGCAAACACAGACAAATGAAGTTAGGGTGCAATTCAGCCATGAACTTATTGAAAGGAGGAATAGGCTGAAGGGGAAAATTAGGTAACTTCTGTTCCTAAGAATGTCTAAGACCATGACATATGGAATCTAGGTCAGCTGACCATGAAGTACAGAATCTGACCATCAAGTGATGAATGTAGGTCAGCTGACAACAAAGTGTGGAATCTAGGTCAGCTGAGGCTCAGTTGTTGGCATTCTTGCCATGATACCTCAAGGTTCCGGGTTCAGGTCCCATTCTGAGCACAAAAATCAACGTTTTCTCTCCTGTGCAATGCTGAGGGAGTGTTGCACAGTTGGAGGTGATGTCTTTTGATTGCAACAGTTAAACAGAGATTCCATCTACCTGCTCAGGTGGATGTAGTGGTTTTCAAAGAAAAACAGGGATGTTCTGGTTACTCTGAGATAGTAAGAACTGCCAATGCTGGAGTCAGAGACAAGACCATGTGGAGTTGGAGGAACACAGCAGGCCAGGCAGCATCAGAGGAGCAGGAATGTTGACGTTTTGGGTCGGGACCC